AGGGAGAAAGGTCTTCCTATTCCATTGTTTCACCCCCCAATGGCTGCTGCAGCCGGCGCACCGCACTGATCCGAAGTCAGGAGCCAGGTGCTCTCCTGGTCTTCCATGCGGGTGCAGGGCCCAAGGACTTGGGCCATACTCCACTGCACTCCCAGGCCATAGCAGAGAGCTGGACTGGAAGAGGAGCGACCAGGACAGAATCCGGTGCCCCGACCGGGACTAGAACCTGGGGTGCTGGTGCCACAGGCGGAGAATTAGCCTATTGAGCCGCGGCACCAGCCTAAGAGCAATCTTTAAAAATATTTATTTAGGGACTGGTGCTGTGATGTATTGATGTAGCCTCTGCCTGCAGTGTCGGCATCCCACATAGGTGCTGGATCTAGTCCAAGCTGCTCTACTTCCGATCCAGCTCTCTGCTATGGCCTGGGAAAGCAGCAGAAGATGGCCCAAGTCCTTGGGCCCCTGCACCCATGTGGGAGACCCAGAAGAAACTCCTGGCTCCTGGCTTCAGATCTGCCCAGTTCTGGCTGTTGAGGCCATTTGGCAAATGAAGCAGCAGATTGAAGACCTTTTTCTGTTTCTCCCTCTCCCTGTCTGTAACTCTATCTCTCAAATAAATAAGTAAAATATTTTTAAAAAAAAGATTTATTTTTTTAATTGAAAATCAGAGTTACACACAGAGAGAGTGAAACAAAGATAGACAGAATCTTCTACCTGCTGACTCACTCTCCAGATGGCCGCAACCGCCAGTGTGGGGCCAGGCTGAAGCCAGGAGCCTCATCTGTGTTTCCCACATGGGTCTCAGGGGCCCAAGCACTTGGGCCATCTTCTGCTGCTTTTTCTAGGCCACTAACAGGGAGCTGGATCAGAAGTGGAGCAACCAGGACATGAACTGGTACCATATTGGATGCCAGCATGGCAGATGGCTGCTTAACCTGCTGTGCCAAAATGCTGACCCCAAGAGCCATTAAAAAAAATTTACTTATTTGTTTACTTGAAAGGCAGAGAGATTAATCTTCCATCTGCTGGTTCATTCTCCCAAATGGCTGCAATGGCCAGGCCTGCACCCGTCTGAATCCAAGAGCCAGGAATTCCATTCATGTCTCTCTCATGGGTGGCAAAGGCCCAAGCACTTGGGTTGTCTTCTGGGGCTTTCCCAGGAATCTTACCAGGAAGCTGGATGGCAAGTGGTTTAGCCAAGACTCAAGTGGGCACTCAAACCAGTGTTTCAAATAGTAGCTTAACCCGTTACACCAGAGACACTGGCCGTTATTACTACTTTTAAATTTTTTATTTATTTTTATGTATGTGAAAGCAGTGAGATAGAAAGAGAGAGACAAACAGATTTTCATCTGCTGGTTCACTTCCCAAATGCTTGTAACAGTGGAGGCTGGGCCAGGCCAAAGCCAGGAGCCTGGAACTCAGTCTGAGCCTTCCACATGGGTGGCAGGGACCCATGTACTTGAGCCATCATTTGCTGTCTCCCAGGGTCTGCAGAAACTGGAATAGAAAACAGAGCTGCTGTGGCGTAGTGGGTAAAGCTGCCGCCTGCAGTGCCAGCATCCCATATGGATGCCAGTTCAAGACCTGGCTGCTCCACTTCCTATCCAGCTCTCTACTATGGCCTGGGAAAGCAGTAGAAGATGGCCCAAGTCCTTGGGCCCTTACACCCACGTGGGAGACCTGGAAGAAGCTCTTGACTCTTGGCTTCGGATTGGCTCAACTCTGGCTGTTGGTGGTCATCTGAGGTGTGAACCAGTGGATGGAAGCTCTTTATCTCTCTTACTCTCTCTGCCTCTGTCTCTCTGTAACTCTTTCAAATAAATAAATACATCTCTTAAAAAAAAAAAAAAAAAGTAGAGCTGGAACTGAAACCCAGGTATTCTGATGTGGGCAGCTTAACTGCTGCATGAAACACCTCCCTCGTGTTCTGTTATTAATTTCTGAGTGTTCATTTTTATATTTAGGAAATTATTTCTTTGTATATGGTGTTTTTTTTTTGTTGTGATGGTCATTGATCCCCTGTATGTGTGTTTGTGTCTGTGTATGTGTCTTCCGGGTTTCATGTCATACTTAGAAAAGATTTCCCCACTTCAACATTATTTTTTAAAAGATTTATTTATTATTTGAAAGAGTTACACAGAGAGAGAAAAAGAGGCAGAGAGTGAGAGAGAAGTCTTCCATCTGCTGGCTCACTTCCCAGTTCGCCACAATGGCTGGAGCTGTACCTGATCTAAAGCCAGGAGCCAGGAGCTTCTTCCGGGTCTCCCATGTGGGTGCAGGGGCCCAAAGACTTGGCCCATCTTCTACTGCTTTCCCAGGCCATGGCAGGATTGGAAGGGGAGCAGCAGGACTTTAACTGGCATCTATATGGGATGCTGGCACTGCAGACGGCACTACACCACAGCGCTGGCCCCTTCACAATTATTTTAAGACACTTATGTTTTCTTCTAGTGCTTCTAAAATTTATTTTTCATTGTTTCATTTGTATTCATCTGAAATGTATTTTGGGATAAGTAGTGTGATGTGGATTCAAATTTATTTTTATCCTGATGGCTCTCCATGTTTCGACACCATTTGTTGAACAATATGTTCTGAATGTTTCTTGCATAATCTATTTCTGTAGATAATCCCCTGTACCATATCTAAATTCCCATGTGTATTTGGACTTACTTTAACACTTTTTTAAAGATTTTATTTATTTATTTGAAAGAGTTACATGCTGGCACCGCGGCTCACTAGGCTAATCCTCCACCTTGCGGCGCGAGCACACCAGGTTCTAGTCCCGGTCGGGGCGCCGGATTCTGTCCCGGTTGCCCCTCTTCCAGGCCAGCTCTCTGCTGTGGCCAGTGCAGTGGAGGATGGCCCAAGTGCTTGGGCCCTGCACCCCATGGGAGACCAGGATAAGTACCTGGCTCCTGCCATCGGATCAGCGCGGTGCGCCGGCCGCATTGCGCCAGCCGCGGCGGCCATTGGAGGGTGAACGAACGGCAAAAAGGAAGACCTTTCTTTCTGTCTCTCTCTCTCACTGTCCACTCTGCCTGTCAAAAAAAGTTACAGAGAGAGAAAGGAAAAAAAAAGAGAGAGAGACAGAGAGAGAGAGGTCTTCCATCCACTGATTCACTACCCACGTGGTTGCAACAGCCAGTGCTGGGCCAGGCCAAAGCTAGAAGTCTGGAGCTTCTTCCAGGTCTCCCACGTGTGTGCAGGGGCCCAAGGACTTGGGCCATCTTCAGCTGCTTTCCCAGGCACATTACCAGGGAGCTGGATTGGAAGTGGAGCAGCCAGGTACCGTCACCCATATGGGATGCTTTACCCACTACACTACAGTGCCAGCCCCATTTATATACTCTACTCCATGTCTACATGCCAGCTCCCACCTACACCATTTTAATTACTGTAAAGTATGATGTAGAGTTTCTGTGTGTTTCTCTTCCCTTTTTGGCAATTCTCCCCTGAGTAAGGCACACCATTGCAGGGCATGGCAGGCCTGCAGCCATGGGAGGGAAGGAAGTTCTCCCATGGCTTCCCGGAAGAATGACTTGTGTGTGGTACCACCACGAGCGGCGACTGGGGCCCCTTGAACATCAGAACCCAGGCATGTACCTGGTCCCACCAGCTTTCCCCTGCCCTAGGGTGGGACAGTGGGGACGGGGGAGAGGCTTTGGGTAACAGAGGAGCGGAAGGAACAGCTGGGTAGACTCTTCTGCCACGGTCCACAGAGAACAGGTCTCTAAGGCCCCCCAGTCTGTTTTCAGTGAGTCCTCCACCAGCAGCACCCTCACGCCCTCCCTCTTCCCAGGACTGCAACAACCCCTTAGGTAAGGGACCTAAGGGACCTAAGGGACTGGGCTATCAAGGCCCCTCCCCTCCCCCAGCGCATGTGGACTTTGGCGGCAGAGTTCTCATTCCTCTCCTGCCAGTAGAATAATCATCTCTTCCCTCCTCTTGGTTTAAGTTGTGGGAGCACAGGGACCACACTGTTTCCTTTATTGCAGTATCCGCAGCACTTTGCACACAGTAGGCACTCAATAAATGTTCATTAAATGGATGTGAGAGTTAGAGAAAGGAAGTCTCCGCAAGTGGACAACAGGACAGAGCTGGCATTTGGTGCAGGGGCCCTAACAGTGTTTGGGAGCCCCCATCCCAAAGAGGGGTTCTTAGGTGCAGGCTGGGCTCTGCGTCCGGTCCCGCTCACTGCTAATGCAGACCCTGGGAGGCTGCCATGATCCCTGCCACCCACCTGGGCGGCACTGAGTTCTGGGCCCCCGGCTAGGACCTGGCCCAGCCTTGACTGCTGTCTGCATTCATGGGTGAACCCGAAGATGGAAGAGCATTCTCTCTCTCTCTCTCTGCCTTTCAGATAAAATGAAAATACATAGCATTTTTAAAATGAATATTTTACATTTTTATTTGCAACGGGAGCCTTTGGTGGATGTGAGGGTATGAAGCAGTGCTTAGAGAAAACACTAATAGTAGTTATCTCTGGAGGCCCTGGGATTCATGGAAACGAAGTGCAGCCCAGCAGGAGTCCCAGGCTGGCTGCGGGCACCACTAGGCACCACTCCTCCCCTTTCCCCACAGCTCCAGCTTCCAGCTTCCCCCAGGAGCCTCCGTGATTACATTTTGACCTTTGGAATACAAAGGCCCCACAAAGGTGCCTTTGAACTTTGCTGCAGCAAGAGCAGGGGGCAGTGTCCGTGGAACCTTTCTATCTCTAGTTCTGTCCCACTGAGGGGCTCAGGCAGGGCAGCCGGGGGCGCTGGGCGCGGGACAAACCCTCCGGCGCCGTGGGGAGCGGAGCTGGGTCACACGCAGCTTCGCCCCGCCCCGGCCTTGGCAGCGAAAGGCTCGGCCTGGGCGGCGGGACACCGGCCCCATTGTGAGCAGCAGCGCAGAGCGGCCCCAGCTGCAGGCTGAGCCGCGCACCGCGCGCCGGAGAGGGGGAGCGCCGCGGGCTGCAGGCCCTGCTGCGGCTGCCCCGCAAGCTCGACCCCGCGCGGGGGGCGGGGGGGGGGGCGTGGGCCGTGTCCGTTATTTCCAGGTCACCCTGGCGGGGTCCATTCCATGCCCCATCTTTGCGTTTGCCTGGGTAAAATTTAATTCTGCAAGTACCGACTTGGCCAGGTGGAAAAGGAATGGACCTTGAGCTCAGGGCTGTGCATCCAAAGACTCCCGCTGTGGCTGCACCTCTCCAGGCAGCTAAGGAGCTGTGGTGGCATTAGTGAGTGAGCTAGGGAAGGTGGAGGAGCGGAGAGCTCAGAGGACGGAGGCCGCGGTGCAGCCAGGGCAGCCGGTTCTTGCTGGCAGGAGAGATGTGGAGAGTGTTTTCCTAAGGTTGGTAGCAGTACTCCTATCAAAATGAAATATGTATTACATCAACATGTAAGGTAGATGAAAATAGTAAATGCCATCCTCAAAACATTTAAATCTAAATTGTTAGGAATTACTGCACCTGTTTGTGACCTTGAGGTGCCTTGGTCCAACTCCTGAAACTAAAAAAATTTAAAATCATTTATTTATTTATTTATTCAAGAACCAGAGATACATAGAGAGCCAGCGAGAACAAACTTCCATCTGCTGCTTCACTCCCCAAATGCCCACAGCAAAGGAGCTGGAGCCAGGAGCCAGGAGCCAGGAGCCAGGAGCTCACTCCAGGTCTCCCATAGAAGGCTTCCACTGAGGTACCACCTGCTGTCCCCAGGGTCTGCACTGGCAGGAAGTTGGATCCTGGGTACCTGAAACTTACAAGTGAGAAGAGAGAAAAAGCCAGAACCAGAGTGGACTGCAGCTGGTTCAAACTCCCATTGTAAAATGCGGTGGGTGTTTCTACCAGCACGAACTCTACTCTCCTGGGTTTCAAGGAAAGTGTTCAGCCTGGTGGAAAGAGTTCTGGATGCCTTGGGAATGTCTTTAGAAATACCATGCAGTATATTGAGTGGTGTCAGAACTGTTCAGCTCCTTCCAAATCTGCTGTTCTTTCTTTTAATCAGATCATGGAAAGATTTGATGGCACAATCATTGTTCGAAGACTGTTCAACCATAACTACATAACAGGAACTCTCCTGGAAGCTTTGTTGTTTTTGATACTCAAACAATGATATTAATTTTATGTATTTACAGGGTACAGTGTGATGATTTTAAAAATTATTTCTCTATTTTCATTTTATTCAAAAGGCAGAGAGACAGAGATCTTCCATCCACTGGTTCACTCTCCAAATGCTTGCCACAGACGGGGCTGGGCCAGGTTGAAGCCAGGAGCCCAAAATTCAATCTAGATATCCCCGAGCAGTGGTGGGGACCCAAGTACTGGCGCCGTCACTTCTGCCTCCCAGGGTGTGTAGTAGCAGGCAGCTGGGACTGGATGTGCATCGGGGACCCTAACTGAAGAACTCCCCTGTGGATGAAGACACCCAGGTAATCTTGTCCCTGTGGTGACTGTTTTTTTTTTTTTTCTTTTTAAGATTTATTTACTTATTTGAAAGTCAGAGTTACACAGAGAGAGGAGAGGCAGAGAGAGAGAGAGAGAGAGAGGTCCTCCGTTGGATGGTTCATTCCCCAGATGGCTGCAATGGCCAGAGCTGCGCCGATCTGAAGCCAGGAGCCAGGAGCTTCTTACGGGTCTCCCATGTGGGTGCAAGGGCCCAAGAACCTGGGCCATCTTCCACTGCTATCTCAGGCCACAGCAGAGAGCTGGATTGAAAGTGGAGCAGCCAGGTCTCGAACTGGCACCCATATGGGATGCCGGCACTTCAGGCCAGGGTGTTAACCCACTGTGCCACAGCGCTGGCCCCGGTGACTGTTTTTTTATTTGAAAGAACTAAAGCATAGCTACAGTGGAGGCCCTCCATTGTGTGACTCCCTGGTGCCATTCATTAAGACTGCTCTGTATTCCATTGTGTGAGCACAAGGCGACCTTGCCTCTGGATGGACATTCAGTTTCTAGGTTTCTGTAGTTTGAGCAATGCTCCAGTGGACACTTGTTGGACACACACAGTAGAGTCTCACCCTGGACCTTGGGACTGCATGTGCCCGGCTCTGCTAGATCCTGGTCCACGCTCCAAGGGGCACTTGGTACAGTCGATATTTTCTCCGGCTGTGATTGAGGTTCTTGCTGCTCTGCATTCCTTTTTTTTTTTTTTTTTTTTTTTTTTTTTTGACAGGCGGAGTGGATAGAAAGAAAGACAGAGAGAAAGGTCTTCCTTTTTGCCATTGGTTCACCCTCCAATGGCCGCCACTGCAGCCAGCACGCTGCAGCCGGCGCAACGCGCTGATCCTGGTCTCCCATGGGGTGCAGGGCCCAAGCACTTGGGGCATCCTCCACTGCACTCTCTGGCCACAGCAGAGAGCTGGCCTGGAAGAGGGGCAACCGGGACAGAATCCGGCACCCCAACCGGGACTAGAACCTGGTGTGCCGGCGCTGCAAGGTGGAGGATTAGCCTAGTGAGCTGCGGCGCCGGCCTTCTGCATTCTTAATAGTACTTTCTATTGTCAGAGGTTTTAATTTTTAACCATCTGATGGGTGTGACATGATTTCCTTCCCTGTTAGTGAGCTTGAGCATCTATTCAAATGTTTATGGGACACTGGAGTTTTTCTTCCTTGGATTTCCCTACTTCCTTTGCCTGTTATTTTTCTTACTGATTGTAGAAATTCTTTATATATCTGGACATTAATAACGTAGGAGAAACTTCTGCTTGTGACTTGGCTTTTCACCTTGCCTTTTTTCATTTTCATGTAGTCATGTGTATTAATATTGTACTTTCTAGCTTTTTCTGATTTGTTTAAGAAATTATTAAGAAATTATATCTTACTTCAAGGTCAGTTAGGTACTCTTCTAAATACTCTCTTTAAAGTTTTCAAGTCTTCTTTTCAAATCAAGGTCTTTATCTGGAATGTCTGTTTACAGTGTGAGGTCATCTCATTGTTTTTCCTGTGCATATCTCTAATCATCCAAGCCAGATGAGGTCAGCTCAATAAAAAGATGAGAGACAAACCATAACTATAGCCCTGGGAGGGGGTGGCTGTAGAGAATGGGTAAGAAGCCTGAAGGGGAACAGTGACAGAGGCCACACAGGTCCAGCCTGCACCCAGGTACTCTTTACTTAGATGGTGCAGCTGGCTCTGATCTATGCCAGGCATCAGGGAGGAATTTAGGAAACTCGGAAGAAGGCATGTCTGGACACCATGGGAGCTGGGTCCAGCCTGCAGTTTCCTGTCTGACCTAATTCAGTGCCCAACCACTAGAGGAAAGCACATCAAGGAAGAGAGGTTGGGGCCAGAACATAGCAGGTGAAGTCGCCGCCTTCAGTGCCGTCATCCCATATGGGAGCTGGTTTGAGTCCCGGATGCTCCACTTCCAATTCAGCTCTCTGTTGTGACCTGTGAAAGCAGTAGAAAATGCCCCAAGGCCTTGGGCCTCTGCACCCGCGTGGGAAACCCCGAAGAAGCTCCTGGCTCCTGGCTTCAGATTGGCTCAGCTCCGATGGTTGCGGCTTTTTGGGGAGTGAACCAGCAGATGAAAAACCTTTCTCTCTGTCTCTCCCTCTCACTGTAACTCTGCCAATCGAATAAATGAATAAAATCTTAAAAAAAAAAAAAAAAAAAAAAAAAAAAAGAGGGCTTCCTGAGGCCCATGGCCCGGGACAGGAAGCTGACCTCGAGGTTGAAGGGCAGTACTGAGAAAGGTGATGGCCTTTCCCAACCATTTTCCCTAAAGCAATAGCTCCATACGTATGTCTGCCCAAGTATTTTTCCACAGGAAAGATTTTTTTCCAGAAATTTGGATGTGTCACCAAAAATCCAACCTATAGCATCTGTTTGCCATAAGCTGCCATACACTAAACCAGAACTGTATATTTTAGGTTATCATTACAATAGCCACCCCATTTTGATGTACTAATTTCTGTAGTATCAGATTGTAGAGTAAGTTGTTACCACAAAGGGATTACAAAATACAATCCTTCTAACAATATGGGAGTTTCTTTTACTCTCACCCAACCAGCTGGAGGTGGACAACTGTCTGAGGCTGGCAGGCAGTACTGCACTGTATTTGGGGACCCAACTTCCTGCCATCTCATTGCCCCAGGTCAATGCTGGGTTACACGGGCTGGTGCTGTGGCATAACAGTTAAGCCACCACCTGCAATGCCAGCATTCCCTATGGGTGCCAGTTCCTATCCTGGTTGTTTTACTTCCAATCCAGCACCCTGTTGATGCACGTAGGAAAGCAGTGGAAGATGGCCCAAGGGTTTGGGCTCCTGCCACCCATGTGGGAAACCTGGATGGAGTTCCAGACTTCTGGCTTCAGCCTGGCCCAGGCCCCGCTGTTTCGGCCATTTGGGGAGTAAACTAGTGGTTAAAAGATCCCTCTCTTGGGACCGGCACTGTGGCACAGCAGGATAACGGCCTGGCTTGCAGTGCCTGCATCCCATATGGGCGCCGGTTCGAGACCCGGCTGCTCCACTTCCAATCCAGCTCTCTGCTATGGCCTGGGATACTTCAGTAGAAGATGGCTCAAGTCCTTGGGCCCCTGCACCCACGTGGGAGACCTGGAAGAAGCTGCTGGCTCCTGGCTCCTGGCTCCAGGTTCCTGACTTCAGATCGGCGCAGCTCCGGCTGTCACGGCCAACTGGGGAGTGAACCATCAGATGGAAGACCTCTCTCTCTCTCTCTCTCCCTGACTCTCCTTTCTCTGTGTAACTCTGACTTTGAAATAAATCTTAAAAAAAAAAAAAAAAGTATGGTTACTGGGGTGGGTAGTGTGGCATAGCAGGTTAAGCCACCACTTGGAAGGCCTGCATTCCATATTGGAGCACCTGGGATTGAGTCCTACCTCTATTTCCGATCTAGCTTCTGGGAAGCAGCAGATAATGATCTAGGACTTGGGTTCCTGGCACTCACATGGGAGGCCTGGGTGGAGTTCCAGTCTCCTGGTTTCAGCCTGGCTAGCCCAGGCTGTTGTGAGCATTTAGGGAGTGAATCAGTGCCTGGAAGATTCTTTTCCTTTCGGTCACTCTGCCTTTCAAATTAAGTAATTTTTTTTAAATCTGAGTTACTCATACAAGCACATTTTAGCTTGCCATTCTTTATGTCTACATCTGTCTAGTTTTTGTGGTCAACTGAAATTATTTCTTTTGTTGATTTCTCTCTGAGGACTCGTGGGAACAGTAGTCTCTGAGTTTTTGCAGTCTTCCCAACGGTTTCTCTGCAGGGTTTTTACTTGGAGATCAGTTTGGCTGGATAGAAAATCCACATTTCCTTTCATTGAATATCTTAAATATGTCATTCTAGCGGTTGTTGTGGTGCAGCGGGTTAAGCTGTCTCCTGCGACGCCAGCA